TTTTCGTTTTATCGATGTATTTTATTTTGCTCTATTACACAGGCCTGCAAATTTTGGCTTAGTTCTGTCACAGAAAAAGTGGTAGGTGATTCTTATAGCTTTTTTGACGTATAATACGAATCCGAATCCGATTTCTAAACTGACCCATCACGTCAGGATTTCTTGTAATATTGCCTTAAATAGCCAAAAATGACTATTTCGGCCATTTTTCGGAACTTTTTTTTGGTAACAAAAATTTTTTTTCAATTTGCGAAATTGGACAAAATAGCCGTTTTTTGGCTATTTAAGGCAATTTTACAAGAAATCCTGACGTGATGGGCCATTTTGAAAATCGGATTCGTATTCTGCGTCAAAAAAGCTATAAGAATCACCTACCACTTTTTCTGTAACAGCACTAAGCCAAAATTTGCAGGCCTGTGTTATTTATTAACTCACGATTTAATTTTTTTCTTTTAATTTGTGATTTTTTTATTTATCATAATTTATTCATTTGAATTTTGATTAATTTTATATGCATGTAAGAAAATATAACATATGTATGTTCTAGGGATAACCATTGGCCCAGGGAAATTAAGACATTCCTAAGATGTCCCAGGGATGACCATGGATACATCTGTGATATCCTAACACAGCCCCACAAAAAAAGAAAAGTACCCTGCGCGAAAGTCCACAGTACCATACCCCTATGTATTTTGATGCGCTGAACACGAATCCAAAGTCAGATTTGCTCCATCACGTCAGGATTTTTTTCTAACCTCAAAAAACATGTCAGATAATAATTTTTTTTATTTTTATTTTTTATTTTTTTTTGCTGATTACGAATCTGCAGTCAGTTTTTAAAAATTCAAAATGGCGGATCCAATATGGCGGCCAAAATTTAAAAATTTGGTGGATTTTCATTTTACTTGATATATAGGGGTTTTCGGGGTCGCTGATTACAGATTTGCAGTCAGATTTTAAAAATTCAATATGGCGGATCCAATATGGCGGTCATTTTTTTGAAAATTGATTTATTTTGCTTTAAAATGGGTACTTAGTGGTTTTTCGGATCACTGATAACAAATCTTTAATTAGATTTTGAGAAATCAATATGTCCGTTTGAAAATAATGTAATTCTTATTTATGTCTGTTTATGGTAACGGACTCGTTTGGCTTCGAAAGACCTGTGCAGTAGTTTTCTTTTTAAGTTTACTTTTCCTGGAACAATATCCCTTTTTAGCATCCAACAATAGTCAGCCATCATATTTACGTCCCATCTGCCTTGATATCTGCTTTCCATTTCATTAATATCTTGATAAAATCGTTCTCCCTGTTCCTCGCTGTAGTCTCCTAAATTTTTTGGAAAGTAACTCAGATGTGAATGTAGGAAATAGAGCTTCAAACTCATCAAGCATCCCAATTTTTGAAAGTTTTTGATTATAACATTCACTATTAGTTCCCAATTCTCGCTCTTATGGTTGCCAAAAAAGTTTTCAATAACTCCCTTAAAACTAAGCCAAATGCAGCTTTCTCTTTTTTACTCATTACTGTGATAAATTTTTCATCTTTTACTAGTTTGCGAATTCGAGGCCCAACAAAAATTCCTTCCTTTAATTTAGAATCAGATATCTCTGGAAATTTTTGTTTCAGGTACTTGAAACATTTCCCTTTTTTATCTAAAGACTTTACAAACTGTTTCATTACCCCTAGTTTAATATGTAAAGGTGGTGGAATTACCTTTGTAAGATCAACTAGAGGTTTTTTTTATAATATTTTTGGAACCTGGTGTAAAGGATGTTCTTTTGGTCCATTCTTTTTGTACGTAATGTTTTTTTTTATCTCTACTGTCCACAAACATAAAAAGCAAGGTGTTTTCGTAAAACCTGCTTGTTGGCCCAACATGATACTTATAATTTTAAAATCTCCACAAATTTGCCAATTGTGTTCTTTATATTTAATTTTCTCCAAAACTAATTTGACAGTTTCATAATCTTCTTTAAGTTCAGTGGAATGGGCTACGGAAATTAAAGCAAAAACATTAGTGTTATGAATTAGCACTGCCTTTAGACTTCTTTTAGAAGAGTCAATGAATAACCTCTAGTCTTATGTTGATCTTCATATAGGTTTGGTTTCAATTCATTTATTAGTCCTTCAATGTCAGAACAATATACTAATGAAAGCTCATCGTCTTTTGTAAAATATTTCCGAAATTCCTTTTCTCTGTCACGATAAAAGTAAGCTGTGGTGTCTTTAGATAACAAATTTTTCTTTTTTAAAACTGAAGCTAGATATCTAGCTGCATATTCTATTTTTGCATTTTTCTATCTAGCTGATATTCTGCTCCATTTTTGGGTAATTTCAAATCTCTGATGAGGTTGCTAAGCTCTTCTTGCGTAAAGTCTTCTTAAACTTTTTCTTCCTGATAACCATCTGGAATATAAATATCATCATTGTCTTCTACAATATTACTAATCGCATCACTTATATCGGAAAGTACATACTCTAATGGTGAACTGTCGATTTCCATATTTGCAGAAGAAAGAGTTAAATGACTTAAAATTTCGGGTTTTTTCACAGATACTACACATGCGTAAATTATATTATTTTATTTATTTTTTATTTTTTTTAGGCTTTTACATTGGTCATGCAAAAGTAGCAATCTTCTCGATTCAATGGTTTTTTCCACAATGTTGGTTTTTTAAACTTCAGGTGTTTATCCTCTTTCGTATCATTCCAACGAGTTAACATTGTGTAGCAGGATCAGCAGATTGTATTTGGAACCCATTTTTTATTCTGATTGACTATCTCAAAATCAAAACAATCTTTGTAAATTTGTTTAATGTTTTCATTAATTAATTTGCGATTTTTCGGGATATAAAATTGTCCGCATACGTAACAAAATACATCTGCATTGCTGTCACATGGATGTTGTGAGGTTGAAACTCCAAAAAGAACTTTTGAAGCGTTTGAAGTTTTTTTATTGTTTTGATTTTTGAAAGCCATGATATTTAGGAAAATGCCCGCACGCTAGGGATCCTGATCCGATCGCAGGCGAGTCCACCGTCCTAGGGGTGATAACCCTCATACCTCCCTAGGCCTAAGTATGAGAGCTTTCCGACTTTGACGAGGACATTATCAACTCGTCGTCGGACACACTACGGTATCATCCTCACACCCTAACGTCCCCCTGCAAGGCAGCGCGCCTTCGCTGGCTTCGTTACTTCGATAGACAGAAAGCAAATCATTCTACACATCCCATTTCGGGGCAGTTGTCATCGCCTACTACATCTATCGAAGCAGCAGGATTAATAGACCTTTTCATTTAAGGAATCTGTACTGCGCAAGCGCGGAGTATATATATAACTTCCGACAAAGTTTCGAGCACTTTTTGTACAAAATGCACAGTGCTAATAGTGAAAAGTAATTAAAAGTATTACTAATGAATGTAGAAAAAAAATTAGCGTGTATTAAAAATGAGCAGTATCCCTGAGAAAAATAATCCACAAAGGAAAAAAATTGATGCACAAAAAAATATTGTTTTGGGAATTGCAAAAGTGATGCTCGTTGCAAGTCTTATTTGACTGAAAATTATTACTTTATTTCTTTCCCAAAATCGTTTAACATTTAGAAAATAAAATATTAGGAATAAAAATATTCGAAGTAATTGCAAAACTTGTCAAGTATATCGAAAATGAGACCTTTGGGTAAGGTTATGTTCATAACATAACATAACCTTATTTACATGTAAACAATATAGACTTTTTTACCCTTTAAACACTGACTTCGGCTTTATAACCATATTTTTAATTGACAGCTACAGTATTTTTCTCTACCTGTTCATACATTAATTTTGCTTCTGGAATATCTTTTTCATCGAGTTTTTTATTTGAATTGTTATTAGCACAATAATTATACATTCTGACACAAAGTTGCTCGAAAATTTTGAAATCGCGCCGTCTGTCATGGCGTAGCTTCAACTTCCGGTCTTAAATGAAAAGGTTTATATTGTGCCAAAGCACAACGGAAATACAATACAGTATTATGTCCTAGCAGGCCTGCGTTCAAGAGAAAAGTATTCTGCAATTGTTGAATTGAACTTCATCCAGAAATTATGCCTAATTCTCTAGAAATGTTCCTAGATGTCGTCTCGATAAATACATTTTAATTTAGGCATTAAGGTTACCAAAAATCTGCATTTCCTGCTGCATAAATGTTTACCAACAAACTGTTCGAAACTTTTAAATTCACCGACTCCCAAAATGCTTGCATATCAAGTCATATTGGACCAGTTGTTAGAAATTTTTAAAGTCTGATTTGAAATTTGTGATCAGCGATCCGAAAAACCAGTGAGTACCCATTTTAAAGCAAAAAAAATCAATTTTCGAAAAAATGACCGCCATATTGAATTTTTAAAATCTGACTGCAAATTTGTAATCAGCGACCCCGAAAACCCCTATACATATACCAAGTAATGTGAAAATCCAACAAAAATTTTTATTTTGTCCGCCATATTGGATCCGTCATCTTGAATTTTTAAAAACTGACTGCAGATTCGTAATCAGCGATCTTAAAAACCCCCGAAAAACAAGTTTGAGAAAAATCTGATCAATTTTTAAAAAATTTTGTATTTTACATAAATTACATAAAATCTGACATGTTTTTTGAGGTTAGAAAAAAATCCTGACGTGATGGAGCAAATCTGACTTTGGATTCGTGTTCAGCGCATCAAAATACATAGGGGTATGGTACTGTGGACTTTCGCGCAGGGTACTTTTCTTTTTTTGTGGGGCTGTGATAATTTATCCTAATAATATCAATTATTATCCTCAATATATTCATAGGGTATCTTGAATATCTGTATGCTATTAAGGAGAAATCAGGAAGTTAATGACAATGTCAATATCGAATCAAAGGCAAGTTAAATAACAAAATTGCACCTTAAAATAATCAATATAATTTTCCGCTATAGATAAAAATAATAAAAAAATGTTGTTAATAGAGTATTGAAAAACATAATTAACCTTCGTCAGCGAGTGTTGTGGAATTTTCGTAAAGCGTAAAGTTAGTTCCATTTGTCAAATACCAATCCTGAAATAGATCTGGATATTCTGCACTATTCCAAGAAGGGTTACCAAATCCACTCCAACTTCCATTCAATTGTGTACATTCTGCCGTCAAGACTTGGTTGTAAACATATCGGCAAAACCTCTCTCGCTGCTTTTTTAATTTCCTGAAAACAATAATAAGTTATTTTTATTAATAAATAATAAGTTAATAATTTTTTTGTTGGAAAAATCAAATGCGGTTATTTTATTAAAAACCGAAGTTTAAGGATTATTGACCCTATTTTCAAAATGAGCAGAATTGGTTCATATTCTGAGAATTAAAAGATAATATTTGTAGAAATATTACTGTAAAATTTGATTAACTTTCAGAACCTGGTTTAAAAGTTACAAACATTAATATTAACATAGCTTTTAATGGTAATCGAAAATAATTACACGTCTTCTTAAACACTTTTATCAATTTTGACGAAAAAAATTAGCAGATTTTTACATAATTTTAGTATGTTATTCTTTGATTCTTAAAGTTTAATTATGATGAATTTGAATGTAATTCAGAATCTAGTTTTTGAGAAAAAAGTCACGAAAGTTTGAAAATAATTATTAATTAGGAAAATATGTACTTCCAAATGTATAGATTTGGCAACATCGCTGTATAAATATACACAAAGTTTGCATGTGTGAGAATATGAAAGGGGCGAAAAAACGCTAAAGAGAAAAGGCGGGAAAATATGTTTCGTGTTTTTCTCTTATGAAATTACTTACTTTAACGAAAAGATATACAATAAAATAATTACTTATAATTATAAACACTGAACCTCAACATTTGTAGGAGGCTTGCTGTCAGCCAGCGAAAGCTCAAAAACATTTTTATAAAGAATATAAATCCATTTTAAACAGAATTACATCTAAACTAAAATTTAACCTAAACATCAAAATATGTTTGTCTAGTTTATCATGCTTTTTCTAAAATATAACCTACAAATGAATGAGCATTCAAGATATTAGAAAAGTCAGATTTAATTAAATAAAATTTTTCATTAATGATGTTTCGCTTTTTAAAAATGTCTGCTCAGATGTATAATTGATTTGAAAATGATTTTTCTCCCAATTCAGACAGTTATTAGAAAATCGGAAAAAATACCAGTTATCCTGAATATTTTATCTTTCATTTGCGCACAAAAAGTAAAATATTTATTTACATTTACAATGTCAGGAAGTTAAATAGAAAAAAGTTAAACAAATGTGCGGTACATAAAATTACCGCCAGGGGGCAGCACCTAATGGGCACATCAAATTTTCACAGTTTACTTCCTTTAGGTCAGACGTTACCAGAACTAGACGCCATTATTTGTTTTTAACTATATGTATATATAGTGAATTTGTAGTCAGGTTTGCCACCCTTGACATACAAAAAGAAGGAAATGCTGTGTTGTCACGTCTTACTTTGACTTTTTCAATATCCAAAAATAATGTTTAAAAATAATTTAACTCTATTTTTTTTGCATGTAACAATATTTTTTATGATTTCACATACACTGTTCATAAAAGAATGCTTTCTAAAGCTAATAATCCTGTTTGTAAAATATTATTATTTTTTTTTGTTAAGTTGTTGTACACTCCCTGACAAAAGTTAATTTCTTAAAATAAATATTATAAGTCTAAATATATACATTTTACAATTATAAATTCTTCTAAAAACTATTAAAAATGTTATATCTTTAAAGAAATTAATTGTTTGACATATTAAAATGACTCCGTATTAGTGTTATTTTATACTCCTATGTCACTAACTTTTGATTTTGTGTACCTGGGTCAATAATCCTTAACTTGCACCCTAAAACTTAAGTATAATAATCGCAAAATTTTTTTATTCTGTCGGAATGTGTTTTTGGTGAATTAGACAAATTAATATTGGAATGAAACGCTTCGTCTTTTAGTTAACCAAAGACCGATCTTTTTATACTCTTTCCGTGTTGTATTAATATCTCTCTATATTTAATATATGCATTTTAATTTTTTGAAGTCAAATTATTTGTTACTTGATTATTTATAAACCGGATCATATGTGGATGATTATGAAGGAACACACATAAGAACTCACAAGGGATCTTATATGTGATGTGAAAAAATTGTTAACAGCGTCGTATAATATAATAAATAGCTCCCTATAAAATGTCCAAAATATGCAATTTGGGCGTAAGTTGACGTTACACCTTTCTCAATATTGTTTTCAAACGGATTTTATACTGGATAGAAAAATTACAGAGTACGGATGAAAGCCAAAAAACTCAATTTAAACAAAACGACAATATTAAAGTCTTGGAATCTCGCAGCCTCTAGATTTACCCAAATTATTTTCAGAATTGGGAAGACAATCTTACCACTATACTATATTATGGTGCTGCCCTCTACAACTTTTCGCCATTTCCAAGGTAACAGCTTAGAAACGTAAAAATTTCAATTTTATGTTTCAGCGAATTTTGTCAAGCACCGTTGCTAACCTTCGCGATTATTTGTCAATCTGACAGTTTTTCTTCATTTCGATCCTAAAAATGCTTTGGCGATAAGAGCTAACTCTGGAGATTTTTATTTTTTGTTTGCAATTATTTGGCGATTTATTAATTTCATCTTTTTTTGTAAAGATTTTAATTTTTTTTTATTTTTGGACGGTTAGCAAAATCTGATACACACAGCTTCAATGAAGCGTTTTGCAAAGTGTGAAAAACAACCTTACGTGCCCATGCAAAGGAAGATTTTTTTTTATTTTGTACGGCAGAAGTAGTTTATGACATTGGTGAAGGCAGCAGTTTAGAAAATTTCTAGTTGCATCGCACTAGATGTGGAAATGTTATTAAAAATGTAATAGCGCCTCATATGCTAAATGAAATCATAAATGACATTGGAGAATCAAAATTTTCACTAATTATTGTTGAATCACAGGACATTCCATCTTTGAAGTATCTATGTTTATGCATAAAATATTTTTTGCTCTTTAGAGTGCTACAGCAAAAGTTTAATATGATTCAGTTATTCAGTTTCTAAGTGATCTTGGTCTTTCAAAATTCTTTGAACAATTGTGCGTTAACTGCATCTGAAGAATTTCCTGGATCAGTAGATTTCATACTTCATGAAATTCATGAAATTAGTTCCATTTGTCTGCAAATTGTCGATTAGAGTATTAAAGGTTATGGGATACATTGAATGCCTTTGATTAAAGTTAACCTGAATTTTATTTCTACCGCGCTTCGACAAAGTTTCGTTCAACACATAACAATAAGCCTGATGATCACCTCCGTCATAAACAGGTGAATTATAAACTACTCATTTTCGTTTATAATAAGCAATGTCGCTGTTACAATTATAAGTATTTAATACTTTTTGATTAAAGTTAACCTATTGAAGAAGAAAACAAACGTAATTTTCGTCAATTCATTCAACCTTCTAACACCAAATTGTTAGCAAGATTTAATTGCGTTTCGTTATTCTAGATAACTGGATTAAATTAAAAACTTACTTTTCAGTCGTAGTTAATAATGAAAAATGCTATTTTGCTCCGTTAATATATGTAATGTTGCAAGATAATTCAAACTATTTACTATAATTAAAACTAGTCAACTACTTGGATCGAAAGAGATAAAATTCTCAAAGACAGTTAAGCTGGCTTTAGGAAATGTTAAGGGTCAAAAGATCACATTTTTATACTTAACATGATTATAAGTGGAAGATTGAAAAGAAAAAGAGGTAAACTTTATGTTGCTTTTGTTGACTTTCCAAAAGCCTTCGACACTGAAAAACAGGAATATTATGTTTCGAAAGATGTGGGAACTAGGAATCAGAAGGGATAAAGTTTTTCTTGCACATTGATTGAAGATCATTTAATTTAGCTTCTGTTAAAAATAATTGAGATGCATAAACTGCTTTAAACTCAAAACTGTCATCCTTTTTTGATCGCCCAATTCGTCGAGTTTTTTGAGGTATTACAGTTTGTATTGTAATGGGCTTCATGTTGAAATTATATCTTAAAAGAAATATTATCACTTAAAGCAGTTTTATCACAATTTTCATTTTTTAGAAATTCGTTGAAATCCAATATTTGTTCCTTTTTCATTTTTATGACTTGATATTTTATTTTATTTAAAAGGCAGCAAGCAATTTTATTTCTACCGCGCTTCGACAAAGTTTCGTTCAACACATAACAATAAGCCTGATGATCACCTCCGTCATAAACAGGTGAATTATAAACTACTCATTTTCGTTTATAATAAGCAATGTCGCTGTTACAATTATAAGTATTTAATACTTTTTGAAGATCAAAACAAGTAGTAGTAAGATTTTCTAAATCATCTTTCTTATCTTCAGTTTTCAGAATCCGTGCAGTTGTCTTTTGACTTTGGTGGTAATTAAATTTATGTTGCATTTTGATCTTTTGAATCTAGTCGCCCGAATAGACATTTACCCGAATCCTTTTGCCTGAATCCAATTACCCAAAAACTATTGTTCCCGATAAATTGTATATATTAAAAACACGTTATTTTAAACAAAATTTTTTTAAGTTATAAATAAGGTAAATCAAATAACAAGAAATTCAAAACAGTTCCAAACATGATTATAATTGAAGGTTATAGGATAAATTTTCTAGAAATTTAATTATATGTTTTTTTCTATAAAGTCTTTATATTGTTTAATTGTTGTCCTTAAAAGCTGCAGTAATTCTATCCACTTTCTGCGTGGTGCTGATTTTACTGCACGCCCAAGATTGAGCTCCACTAGACAAACTCGCTGCTCTTTTTTGATTTGGTCTAAGAATGAATACAGGTCTGGATGAGGGTGCGATCCCTTGTGAGGAGAATACGTCGACCGAAAGCAGAAAATCATGAGAGTGAAAAGAACAACAATATTTACCTATCTCTTTTGCACTCATGATTTTCTGCTTTCGGTCGACGTATTTTGCTTACATGGGATCGAACCCTGACTCTTTCCTCTGGGAACGGAAACATCTTTGCTCTAGAAACGTTCCTAAAACGTTTTTAAAACGTTTTATGTCCGCTACATAACGGCTTATGAACGTCCAATGTTTTAAAAACGTTTTTAAGACGTTATGTGAAGGACATGAAACGTTCTAAAAACATTTTTAGAAAGTTTTTAGAACAAAGACGTTTCCGTG